CGCTCTACCTGAAAATCATCGTAAAGCTCTCGGTTTTTTGCTCTCGCTTTAGGAAGTAAAAGTCATTTTTAGAAAGTATTTTTTGCGCGCCATCTACCTTTGCAAGTGAACAATAGAACCAGTAGAAAAAATGTGAAATATTTCAGTTTAGAAAGAAAAGTCAAAACGGGAATTTCGACGTACCCACTTCTTCGGACCCAAGCTCAGCTGATGTGTGTGCAGTCAAGAGAGCTTGAAATATGAACGAACTCAGTGTGCACTCGTCGGTTTCAGACGTTCTGCAGTGGCTTGAGCTTGGAGATGACCAAGTTCAAATACGTCGTCCTGCTAGTGACGGAACCCTTTGCCAAAGAAGATTTGTGTCGAAGCGTGCAAGAACTTGCCGGAGAACACGGTGCAATCATATCTGCTCTTCAGAAATACCCTGAGAAATCTGGGGAGTCAAAGAAATCAAGAAATTTGGGCCCACAAGAACAAATTGTGCGCGAGCCAAAGCCGGTGAGAGCTGTCGCCCCCAGTTCTTCTGGCCTTTTTCAGAAACGTATTGTCACATGCGCTGGGGAGCAGGTGCTCTATCACAACCGCGGAAGATCGTCTAATTGTCAGTGGTTGGGCCACAAAGAAGCTCCGCAAATTTTCTCGAAGCCAGTACTGCGTAAAAAACGTTGCTCATTGACCGGTGATGTGTGACGGGGCTCATCATAGATTTGTGGATACGGCGGGGACGACTGCGGTAGCTAATTCAGAGATTTGACGAAGTACTCCGAAAACTTAACGCCTCTACTCGCTTTCAGTCAAAGCGAAAGGATCCACCTGCACAAAAACGTGCGGCCGTATGTCGTCCAGTCTGCTGCAGGATTTGAAGTAGCTTGGAATATCAAATCTCTTTGTCTACAATATTCGCTGTACATCTACCCGTGCTGATGACTTTCTCAAGCAACTGACGTCTTCCTGTGCGAGGAATGCTTCATCGGCAAGCCGCCCGTGTGAAAACTGCCTCAACCTTTAACCTTACAAAAATAGGTTCACCTATTGCACGTTACAGAGAACCTGTCTATTGTAATGGTTTTTATTTTCACCAGTCTCAGTCCCCCAGGCAGTCACCGACGTATACTAGGTGCTAAACCCCTGCTCACCTCCAATTCCAACCTTGTAACGTTGTGGATTGGCGAATAACATCCCATTTGTCATATACAGCGGTGCAGGGACGTTATTGCCGCCATTGCTGTCCTGCATATCAATACGGAATTCCTTTCGGGGTTCCCAAAGTAGCTAGCACTCGGTTTCTTCAATCTTCTCAAATTATGTTTATGTCCCAGTCACTTCGGTAGCTCGTTTCCGTCGACGAGTACCCTCGCTCACACGTACCGTCCCATTACAGTAAACCACTTGACATGACATCAGGCACCCCTCTTTTGCAAGTTGCCAGAAAATGCCTTTTTTTCAATGTGTACATTGAATGCTTACAAACGAAGCATCGTTTTACGCATTTCTTTTGGTAGCCGACAATCTTTTCATGTGGAAAAAAAGGGGGAGGGGACATCGTTATTCACGTAGCGTATGTTTTCATATCTAAGCCTAACAAAAAAAACAAAACCTTGGAGCTTTGTTTGGCGAAGCTTCTCAGTGACTTTTTTGCGTTAAAAGCCGAAGCATCAAACTTGTCACAGGTTGTTTGTGATGGCGGATAACTAGAGACGTGGAAGGAGTGACATAACGATTTGCATTTGAGTGACCTGGTAGACTTTTGCAGCATTCTAGTATTTGTTATGATTCTTTTGTTTTTCGAGCTACAAATGTTATTTTTCAGTCCTGAAAACTTTTGTTGCAGCAAGGCGAGGAGCCGCCGTTGAGCTGGCGATTCGTCTGCAATTTGAAGTGCGTTCAAGATACAGATGCATGGGTCGGGTTTGCTGAACTCCCGGTTATTTGTCTCCAGAAGTGCTGAAAAAGGACCCGTATGGAAAACCGGTGGACATATGGGCATGCGGTAGGTGTTTTTTCTCACTTATCCGTGGTGTCCAAGGCTTTATGTGATCTTTTTTACTGTAGCTTTGGGATGGTAGAAGGCGAAGATCTTATAGATCATAAAATGCCGAAAATCACGCTATTTTTCGTTAATTTTCGTACTTTCCAGCTTGACGAATTCAGCGATAACCTGAATTTGTAGAAAGGCTATGAAAAGTTTCGAGATGTAAAAGGGAAGGGCTTTAAGCTATTTTTTCTTAATGTCCCCTTTAACATTCTGCCCTAAAAAGGTCAGCAATAGCAAATCTATGGGATCCCTTACTACGAAGTAATTGAAGCTGCTAGAAGCTAGGGGGAAGTGCTCAAAAATACACTGCACCTTTACCCTAAGGGATTGTATTTCTTGCCATAAGTGAACTGGTCTTCAGCTGTGGGAAATGTGCTTCTTCGTCCGACAGCGCGTCGAAATAGTAGGATATCGTTTCGACATGCATACCTAGAATGAAAACAGCAAAAGAAATTGAATAAATACGCAGAGGATAGGCATAACGACCTATCTACACGGCAAAACGCAGCTATTGTCTGCAGCCGTTTCTTTTTTGGTCTTTTTGGTACTTGGTGGCTACAGGCTGCTTTCCGTTTATTATATTCGCTGCGATGATAGTCATAGAGTCCGGAACGGCATTCAGCCATCACAACCCTCCAGCTTCATTTCCGCGATCTTGCGAGGAAGTGGTACACCTAAACAGCTGTGGGTATACCTCCATCATGGAAGGCGATCCACTTTCCCGTTGACGCTCAATATGCTTCTTGATAGGGAAAACTGAGCTTTTGATTGAAGCTAATACGTGACAAAAACTGAGATTACACGTATATCGTACACTTCCAGTTTTTCCTAGCCTGCATGTTGACCAGCTTGGCTGTACCTACTTCTCTGGTCTTCACTTCCTATCTCCGTATTCATATGTCTGGCCCGACTTGTTCCTCACAGGCGTATTGTGTCAAAGACATATTTTCTTGCTGATATGAAGTCCATTTACTTTAGAATGGTAGACAGGGCGTACAGACATCGATGTGATGTGTGAAAATGGTGGGTGTCACTACGCCCCCTCCCCCACTGAAGGAAGTCTCGGGATATCGACCACCTCTCGTCCCCAACACCTCGCTACCAATTTCCCACAAATCTCAGTTATTCACCAAAGATTTTCCTTCAAGTGGGGGGAGGTTTCTATTGCCAATAAGGAACAGGATGAACGGAGGAACTCGCTACATTTTTCATTTCTTCTGACTTTTCCGCAGTCCTGAAAGTTTTGTGTCGATAGGTACAGTAGTACACATGAAACAGAAAAAATCACGAAAACTCAACAACCGAGTAAATTTTTCCCGCCGCGGCGAACTCCTCTTAAAGCACACACGACCGTCCCTCTCCCAACAACGACCAAATACGGCCGCCCCATCCCCCCTCCCATGTGTACCACGCAGTGATGCTGTACCCTGGTCGCAGAGAAGCCCGCGACCACGCGCGTGAAACCTTTCAAGTCACAGCAGTTGCAGGGATTATGTTTTTGTGTGCTTTAGCCTCCCATTCAATTTTTAGCCATCTTTAGTCAGTTTAATCCGACTGTAATAGGATTAACTGCATGGGGGGTAGGTGTTGTAACTGAAAAAACTGTTGAAAACTTTTGGCAGTTCAGCGACGTGCAACTAAAAGTACGTTTTTCGCGCAAACCTTTTGTGGGTGTCTAGGCGAAGCGTGGTTTATGCAGGGAGCGGTTTATACTCACACCAAAAACAGGATAAGATTAGGCCTTATCAAACGTTCTTGTACCGAGGCTTACATGTGAAGAAGGAAAAGTTTATGCAGTCTTCTTCGCTGTCGATGATAGGGCGTGTCCAAGCGGCTGGGTTCGGCGCGCCGCTACCTCGTTCTTCCATCAGCTGGTAAAGCAGGTAAGCATCTCAAGCGATAAACGACTGATACCAACGATATGGTACAGTCTTATCGCTTGCCGAAAGAAAAAAAAATGCAGAGTCGGACTGGCGCCGCGCCAAACCTATCCCTTCTTGACACACCCCATCGAACAAGACTACAATACGCTCCCCAGCCTGTGATGCTTGTCCGTTTTAACTAGTAGTTCGAAGCATACGAGTTTTTTTTCAGGTGTCATCCTTTACATTCTCTTGGTTGGTTATCCTCCATTTTGGGATGAGGATCAACATCGTCTTTATGCTCAAATAAAGGCTGGCGCTTATGATGTGAGGCTTTCTAGTGTTTTAAAGGCTTCTGGCACGTTAAATCCCGAAGAGGAGTAGGATTAATAAATATGGCAGAACGGAATTCCTGACCCCTGAGCAGGCGCTGCGTAGCGCCTTTTCCAAGAAAGGTACCCTTATAAGGCCCTATCAAGCTGCAACATACCACCCGGACGCCCACCGCGCCCGCCCGCCCACAAATGGACGACCGTACCTGATGCTCGTATTGCTTCATTTGCGAAGTAAAATATGAAGCGATGATTTGATACAAAGCGGTCGCGCTGCTGCATGGATATATGGATACATACATGCAACCATGCAATGGTTATAGGCACGCTGCCTACGGAAAACTCGTCCGAAATTACTTTCTGAGTCATGAAGAACGAAAGCTTTTCTTCGCAGGTTTTTGACCGTTTCACTTCGTTTTTTCGCCATTTTCCCACTATATAGCACCCTGCTAGCATTTTAGACCGAGTACCAAATTATCGTGCCATGTGCCTTTGAAGGCAGTTGGCACGATGGTTCCTACTTAGCCTAAAATGCTAGTAGGGCGCTGTCTAGTGGGGAAATGGCGAAAGA